ACTGCAATGCATTTCATCAAACTGTTTGGAGAAAAATCCTTATATATGGTCATTATTTTTAGCCATGGAGATAACATAGAAAAGGACGATTCTATGAAAAAACGAGTAGCAGACGCATCTGCACCCCTCAGAAAACTCGTAAAAAAATGCAGAAACAGGTGTGTGGTTTTCAATAATAAACTCGCATCGAATGATGAAAAGAGGAATCAATTAAAATCATTGATAGATGTTGTGGAAAAAATGATCAAAAACAATGGTCGGTGATTTGACACTGACGAAATGTTCAAGGAAGCTGAAGAAGAACTGCAAAAAGGAATGGGAAAACTAAAGGCAGAAAATGAAGAACTGCAGGCGATTTGTCTCCTTAAAACTGTGCGAAATGAAGTGGAAGAGGAAGGCAGTATTTTTAATATCAAACATTGGCCAAGGTATATTAACCGCTGGTCAAGAAATGGCAGCAGCAGCAGTAGAAACCACATAATTACCTCGCCTGGTGAATGGTATTGCCAGCTGGTGGGGGCAGTAGTATGGTATGGAACAGAGAACTACTCGAAAGGTGAACGATGTAAATAACCTAGAAAAACTTCAAATTTTTTAATCGATGCGTCTGATAGGTGAAAAAAACATTTTGTAAAGGAATAATCAAATTCAAATGATTTAGTCTTCAAAGTGACTTTTGGTTCCAAAGGTCGGGGTGTTAGTATATGTATCATCATAGAAACCAGGATTTAGCGATCCTTTTTATATTTCTTGATAAATACGCTCCTCGTTTATAGGGGTATTTATGCGTCCTTGGTTTTCAATTTTTTGAAGTAGAGCATTTCTGATCTAAGTTTATCTTAGAGAAGCGCTAAGAACGCACAAAATTTTGTATGTAATTTTTTTTCATTTTCAAAATGTTAATTCTTGATCAGATGTAAATTTTATGGTCTCCAGTGGAAATAAGCGGTAACGCTTTGATTGGATATCCTTGGAAATGTATTATCTCCATGAATGCATTCTAAATATTGTGATTCTAGTATTATTTGTCATATTTTCATATACCTTGAATGCAGTTGATATTTAAACTGAATGAATTCTATAGTTTTAATCGAAAAGTAAGCACACATTAAAACACTCAAACACATCTAAAGAAAACGGTATGATAACTGCTGTGGAGTTGTCAAAAAAATAGAATAGGAATACAAATTACTGTAAAAGTGAACGAGAACCAAAATCCTTAAAAACTTAATTTTATCATCTTCATTTACCCAAAATGAAAACAGTCACGTTAACATATGCAGACATTCTAACTGTACAAGATAATGTACGTTTTAGTCCCTTGAATTTTAAAATCGAAATGTTTTACAAAAGTAATCAATTACATCTGTCAAATGTTGACAAGACATTTATTGAAAGATAACGGAAAAGTAGTATGATAGCCAATGAAACCCCAATCCACCAGATATCAAATTACATGGGTGTTTCGATTTTTTTGGGGTTTTTGTCGTTTCGTTTAATTCTATTTGTTTATTCATTATTTTCCTTTTTCTAATTGTTTATATTTCTTAGATATTATCGGTTCAGTCCGAACATAATTGTCAAATTGTTTTTTTTTCCCCCAGCATTTCATAGATTAAATGACACATTTGTTTAGTTCTTGTGTTTAGTCATTTATAAATGTTTTAATTATATTTCCAGTAATATCTATACATTTATCAATATGAAACGAAAAAAAGGATTATAGTGCATCAATTCATTACACAAACTCCGTCAATGCTCTTGACACCTTATTTGTACACTATTTGGATTTATCTATGTTTAAATAAGATAATTTTGTACGACTTTGCCCCCAGCAGAGCTATAGAAAAACAGTACATTAACGGGTGTTACACGGACACTTTTTAGATGATACACGGACACTTTTTAGTTGTTACACGGACACTTTGTATGAATAGAATCACTCGTGCATGATCAGTCAGTTCATGGGCACTTTAAATTTCAATCAGATTTGAACTTTTTGTTTCACCGACATATTTCCTGTCTTTTTAATTAAAATATTTACGTTAGTATCAATAACTATATTTTGTTCTAACAGTTCCAGTAAATTACTATTCATATCAGTCATCTGCTTGACACAATATATTTTGTCTCATAAAATTGGGGATCAAAATATTTTTTTTAGCAAAAAAACCATAACCCGCCTTTTGAAGTTAAATGGTCAATTCCTTAGACTACAAAATAATGTTCTGATTCCTGATTTTCCGAAAAGCGTATATAATAGTGCCAATTTCGAAAAATAAATATTTGGGCGATAGCGTTGAAAAACTAAATAAATTTCTTAGTCAGAAAAGAACGTACCCCCTTTTTGAAGCTAAATGGTCGGTCCGTAAATGTATTTTTTTCAAGACATGAATAGTATTCTGTTAGTAAAGAAATGCCGGCACCGACGTTTATATTTCAATAAAAAAGACAGGAAATATATATAAAAAATCAAATCTAATCAAAAGATAAAATCCCTATCAACTCACCAATGCACGATTGATCCTATGGATAAAAAGTGTCCGTGTAATACATGTTCAAATAAGCAGCAAATTTTGAAGAAAATCATTCAACTTATGTCATCAATTTTGGACGGTAAGCTGCGATTGGATCATAAAGTGACACGTGTTTAATCCTGCTCAACACTAACAGAGACATATAAAAACCTATAAGCATGATTTTTTTTTAAATCCAAAATATATGCCTATACATCTCTAATAACAAGACGAAATCCATTTTTCATAACATTTCATTCACTAATGAAATAGGAAATTCATTCTTTTGATACATTTATATTGTTATTGACTTCATCAGTATTGAACTAATATATATTGGATTCATATATTTGACAGCAAACGTACGATTTTTACGATTTTTTAAAGAGGGAATGGGGGATGGAATGACACATCCTGCATTTTCTCAACAAAAAAAGGATCAAGCCTGTTTATTTTAAATTTATTTTCCCCCTCCCCCCTTTCCGTTTTTCCCCAATAAAAATCAAATGGTAGCTTGCTTACCTCTGAATTTTTTTTCGTACATTCCTTACTTGCGAAGTTGCATTTTAAAAAGTCTCAAATATGTGCAACATTCATCTTTTACTTGGTTATTTTTTATAAAGTTATCAGATTCTTGAATTTTTGAGAAAGAAAAACTCGGCTGAAGGGAAGTGAAATAAAATTGTTTTAACTGTTACTTTGTAACTTACATTAACTTGTATATGGTCATTTAAGTTTCTAAAATGTTTAGTTTTGCTACTTCTTCTAAATGCAAAATGTACTTTTTCTTTCTTGAAACGTCGTACAAGTCAGATACAAAACAAAGGTAACAAAAAAATAGGCCGGAAACAACCTGCCGTATAGTTTTTCTGCACTTGTAGTCAGGTCAAGGTCCTCGGCTATCGACTCGGACCTTGACCTGACTACTCGTGCAGAAAAACTATCCGACAACGGTTGTTACCGGCATGTTTCTTTGTTACCTTTGTATTGTATCTAAAACTTGTAATGACATGATTGATAATTAACGTGAAGAAATCTAGCAAGCTGTATGAAGAGAATATTTACTTTTAAATAGAACATAGGTAAAATTGGACAAGGTAAGATAACACAAAAATATTAATGATAACGACAATTTTACATTATAATGTTTCAAATAAATAGACATTTTTTAAGCCAGACAAAAATCCACAAGTTTATGACTGTGAATAAAAGGAATTAATAAAATGTGAGTATTATAAACTTTAAGACAAGTTATTCAAATTTTCACCTGGTTCTTATCAACTTATATATATGGCGAATGAAGGACGGAACTTATGTATGCATTCAGTATTATTTGATTCGTTGTTTGCTTATCATCTTCGTCATAGCGGAGAATTTATCTATCTATCTAACAAATATAATTTATTGAACACCTTCAATTTATTGGGGTTTGTTTAATACTGATGACGGTTTACTAACAATTAGGCATAAATCGGGCAGTTAGTTTTCTTGTTTGATTTTTTTCACATTTTTCTTTTAATAGCTTGCAATGTGGTATGGGCTTTACCCATTGCCGGAGGCCGTAATATGATTTGTAGTTGCTCAATTCTATGTCAATTGGTCTATATTTGAGATGGAGTTAACTCATTGGCAATCATGCCACATATTCTTAGTTTTATATATGATGCTTTGTAATATGCAGAAACAAGTCAACAATGAATCAAACAAGTGGAGTCTGAAAAATCGGTCGATCAGAACAGAGTCTGAAAAATCGGTCGATCAGAACAAAAGGTGGAAAATTTGGTACAAATAAAGGCAACAGTAGTATACCGCTGTGCAATAGTCATAAATCGATGAAGCAAAAACAAATCCTGTCCCAAGTCAGGAGCCTGTAATGCAGTGGTTGTCGTTTGTTGCTGTGTTACATGTGTTTTTCGTTCATTATTTTGAACATAAATTAGGCCATTAGTTTTTTTCTTTTGAATTGTTTTACATTTGTCATTTCGAGGCCATTTATAGCTGACTTTGCGGTATGGGCTTTGTTAATTGTTGAAGGCCGTACGGTGGCCTATATTTGTTAATTCCTGTGTCATTTGGTCTCTCGAGAAGGGTTGTCTCATTGGCAATCATACCACATCTTCCTCACATCTTCCTGTTAGTAGCAGAGAGGTTGTATTTCAACGAATCACTCGACAATTCTAAAAAGTAGTTATAGCAATGGGTTCTAAAGCATGTAGGGAGATTTACATTCTCCTCAGGTTTGAATGCGTGTTAACTTTTGGTCACAAGAGTACTTGATTTTTTATTAAATCTTGTCGTTTGCATGGCAATTTGTATCTTAAAACGTTTATTCTATTGCATTGTGGCATGATGTAATGGCCTATGGTTGTACAAATTTGGCAGTAAGAAATGCGTCATTTAACAATCAAATCTGGATCAAACTTTAAATCACTTGAATTAAGCATGACATGATATAAAATGTATGATATTTCCACTCAATTTCAGATGATCATTCATTTCTTCAAGTTAATGGGTTGTATCCTACAAATGATTGGTCTATCAATCTATGTTTTGCTATCAATGTGCTTTCCTTCTATCAAAGAATCAGTAGCAGCAAAATTTAGAAAAGTAAATAAAGGAACTAATCTGACTGATGAAGACTGTGTAAACACAATTTATACACTGGCATTTTTCAAACAAATGTGGAGAGCGACGTATCTAGATGTTGTCAAAACTGCTAAGTTATATAGCAAACCTCCAAACGTCGAAGTGATCAAGATAGACAATTTTATGAAAACGAGACTGTTAGACTTCCAGCGAAAAGGAAGACCTTTGGTATTAAATTTTGGCAGTTGTTCATGACCACCCTTCATGGCTAAGCTTGAGCACTTCAATAATGTTATTGCTCGCTTTTCTGACATTGCCGACTTTTTAATCATTTATATTGAGGAGGCGCATCCCTCCGATGGATGGAAATTTGGAAATAATATAGAAATACATTATCACAGAAAGTTGCAAGATCGAATAGAAGCAGCAAAACGGCTATTATCATTTAGACCACAATGTTCCATTGTTGTCGATAACATGTTAGATGAAGCTAACATGCAATACGGCGGGCTTTCCGATCGTTTGTATATAATCTTAAATGACGTCATAGTATTTGAAGGTAAGAGAGGACCATTCGGATATCGTATTGAAGAAGTAGAGAAATGGTTAGAGAACTTTTATAATTAGTTCATTTGCATATGTAATTACTAGTGAAACAAAATAAAGTTCGAAATATAACATACGATGATAACTTCCATGAGGCTAAGAAGAGGGTAAAATATAAGGTTTTAATCATTTCAAATATATTGCAAACTCTGTGTTACATTTCATGAACATGTTTTGGAAATGTTTTCAGGTGACAGGGTTTCTCTATCAGTATGTCAAGTACGTTAGAGTGTTCATAGATCATCTCCAGTCAAAAGTATGAAGACAAATTTGTAAATAATGTCAGATTTGTTGGAAGTTATTGTTTTGAAATACAGATTTTGCTGAGAGGAATGTACTTTGAAGAAAATACTGGATTTGTTTTGCTTTCTAGTGCTTTGTATTGGATACTACTAGATTGGTTAATATATAATTATATCGCACCGTGTTTGTTGGTCCACATTCTTTAGTTGTTCAATTGTCGTCTTAACTTCTGTTGAGACAAACCGACACAGGAGAAACACTCTTTTATTGAACGCGATTAAAAAGAGAGGCGAAAGATACCAATGAGACATTCAAACTCAATAGTCGAAAATAAACTGACAACGCCATGCCAAAAAAGAAAAAGACCAAACGACAAACAACAGTATACAAAACACAACATAGAAAACTTAAGACTGAGCAACACGAACCCCACCAGTCAGGTCAATTTAAAGAAGATCCTCTGTGGGTCATTTTTCACTCGATAATGCCCTCTTCATTGTTAACTAAAAATGTTTATTACTCTAAATTCAGAAATTATGACTTGCACGTCACAATGAAACTTCTTGCTTTTCAAAATAATAGGCGGTCCATAGATTTTGAATTTTTGAATAACAGTACGTACGATGCAGTAATTGTTCTCTTCTCCATCGTCGTTTTTTTCGTAAATCAAATTGTCTTTATACATTCAATAACATAAAATGTATTCGACTTTAAGACGAGTTCATTAGATAGTTACTGAGGTATAGCAATACATTTTTGTAGGACAACACAATAATGGTGCTCCCACATCCGGTATTGCTCCTTTTGCAGTTCATGCGATTTGTATCGACTAATTGTTTCTTCCTTATGAGATGTTTCTTGAGGTAACGAAAATAGAGCACTATATTAAACCACAAGTTGCATTCAAAAGTCGATGCATTTATGTGTTCAATTCATCACCATTTGTTTATAATACTTCAAAACTAGTTCATCATAGACTAGTACATTACATGTGTTAATGGACTTAAGCAATTAAACAATCAATTTCAACTTCTTCTGATATCTCAGTGAAAGCTTCCATATAAGTCGACCATGTATGATATTATCCTCAAATTTCCAGCTGAGTTTTGGTTTATTATAATTTGAAAATTGAGGGAACCTATTTATTCCGCATTAATATTAATTGAAAAAAAGGATTGTGAGCTAAAACATACCATTGTACATTATAAAATAGTATTATTTTTAAAAATGACATGTTATATAATTTGTAATTAGTTATTATAAATTGTACAAACGTGATGTGACGAATTCATCTACATTTTTTTTAAATATACATGTTACACCATTTTTTTATGTTAAGAGCACATTTAGTTTTTCAAGGTAAGTTTATAAGAACAAAATTTTATAAAACTATAAATTATAACATCACTATGATGTTTGTCTACCGTGCTAAATGTAGTTACAATGTCAAATAGGGTTAAATACATAAGCTTTATATAGTCTACAAAATTTAGATATTTATAGCTTTGTAAAACAAGGACATAACTAAAGCTCTATTGAGCTTTTAACCGACATGTATAATATGCATTATATGTATAAGTGTACATGTATAAGTTTTAAAACCGTCGCACTGCAAATTTAGGATACTACTTACATCAAACATTAATTTATACTTGGATCTTGTATTTTATAGAGTTCTATCGATATTTAAATATAAAATAAATTAAATGGAAAAAACATCACTTCATATTGCTAGTTGGAATATCAATGGGTATAAATCAAAAGATTTTATTAAGTTTGAAGACCCAGAGTTTGTTAGTCTGGTCTCTGATAAGGATGCATTCTGTCTAAAAGAAACTCATTGTGATTTGCAAAATAGCCTAAAAATACCCGAATTTGTTGTGATTAACTTAATTAGGCCTAAATATCAAAGAAGTAGAAAGCGATCTGGAGGGTTATCTAAGTATATCAAAAACCATATTCGAAAAGTGGTAAAATTCCTTGAACATGAAACCAGTGATTACATCTGGTTAAAATTAGATAAAGAAAATTTTGGAATATCAAGATATATTTATATATGTTTCTTGTATGACCCACCAGCGGAATCAACTTATAGTCGCCAATTAGATGCTGACATTCTCTCACTGATTGAGAAAGATATTTCAAAACACTCCAAAGATGGGGATATAATATTGGATGGGGATTTTAATGCCAGGACCGGAGATGAACCTGATCTAACTCAAGGGGATAGTTCAAATCACACACACCTTTTTAATTCATTCAGCCCAGATTTAGATTTACCCTCTAGAAGTAGTCAAGATAATATACTTTCTCAAAGGGGAAAATATTTAATTGATTTATGTATTCAAGATAAATTAAGAATTCTAAATGGTAGAACATTCGGAGATCATTTTGGACACCTCACATCAACATAATGGTAGTAGTGTCATAGATTATTTCATTGTATCTGAATATTTAGTAAAATATGTTTCATTTTTTCATGTACATGATTTTATTGGAACCATGTCTGACCATTGTCAAATATCTATGATGTTAAATGTGAAAAACTCTGTCAAATATGATTGTGACTATGATGGCTGTCCTCTTGAACCTCTTTCACCTTCGTATATATGGACAGATAAATCTTCTGCTGAATTCCAAAATGTGTTGTCTTCATCAGAAATTCAGAATGATCTGTCCAATTTCATGAAATTACATGTTGATCAAACAGAATCAGGAATTAATTCTTTTATTATTAATTTTAATCATGCAGGTAATTTATGATGTAGCAAACAAAAGTCTAAGAAAGAAACATCAAAAAGAAAAAACCTAATTGGGAAAATCAATCTCTATCAGCCCTTAAAAAACAACTTATTGATAAAGAAAATTTTCAATTCAATAAAGATCCTTATATAAGATCATCTTATTTTAGTGCTTTAAAGCATTATAGAAAATGTAGGAAAACCACGATACGACTCTATAGACAAAATCTGGCCGTATTAAAGATGCACAGCTTTCATATAAAGACACATACATCCAAAATTCCCAACATTATACTTTTAGTTCATCTGGCATCTTTTCAGAAGCCAAAAATATGTTATATAAAAAAGGTTTAAAAGCTTTCTTTAAATGTACTAAATATTTTACTAATTATAAACCTAATATCTCCACTCTAATGCACATTTTTGATCACACAGTGAAACCCGTATTAATATATGGTACAGAAATATGGGGTTGTTTTAATTCAAAGAAGTTAAACAATGACTTAAAACTTAGTCTAAATTAATTTTATAGACTTTGTATAGATCTAAACAAGAGTACACACGCTGAAATGTCTCGCCTTCTTTACTAACCATTGATATTATGTCCTAAATATAAAGCTTTACTACAACTATCACATAAACTTAACATGATCCAAGAAAATGAGGTCAAGGTCATATAAACCAAACGAGAAATACATGTACACCTTACAATGATTCAATACACTAAATATAGTTAACCTATTGCTTATAGTTTCTAAGAAACAGACTTAACCAAGAAAACTAAACATTGACCAATGAACCATGAAAATGAGTTCAAGGTCAGATGAACAATGCCAGGCAGACATGTACAGCTTACAATCCTTCCATACAACAAATATACTAGACCTATTACTTATAGTATCCGAGATATGGACTTGACCACCAAAACTTAACCTTGTTCACTGATCCATGAAATGAGGTCGAGGTCAAGTGAAAACTGTCTGACGGGCATGAGGACCTTGCAAGGTACGCACATACCAAATATAGTTATCCTATTACTCATAATAAGAGAGAAATTAACATTACAAAAAATCTTAACTTTTTATCAAGTAGTCACTGAACCATGAAAATGAGGTCAAGGACAATGGACATGTGACAGACGGAAACTTCGTAACATGAGGCATCTATATACAAAGTATGAAGCATCCAGGTCTTCCACCTTCTTAAATATAAAGCTTTTAAAAAGTTAGTTAACGCCGCCGCCGCCGCCGCCGCCGTCGATCACTATCCCTATGTCGAGCTTTCTGCGACAAACGTGGCAGGCTCGACAAAAACGAGAAAGTGTATCTAAAATTCTGCAGATTTACATTAGGAGTGAATAAGCACGCAACAAATTTGGCCATATTTGGTAAATTAGGTTGTTATCCCCTAATGTTAGATATTTTAACAAACATGATCAAATATTGGAAAAGATAAAATTGAGAATGGAAATGGGGAATATGTCAAAGAGACAACAACCCGACAAAAGAGCAGATAACATATTTCAAATAATATTTTATTAACAAATGCATACTCTCTCTCAGATATATTATCAAAAGCTGGGTAGAATTCTTGGACTAGTTGTATTCATGCTATGTTGAAATTGCTTGATTTACAAGAGTATCAAGTACTCTCATCTAAAACAAACATTAAGAATATGGTGAAAAAGAAAGTATGTTTAAAATATTGTAACAGATGGAAGAAAGAATTATTCAATGATAAAAGATAAAATAAGACCTCTGGTAATAAACTTAGAACTTATCGATTATTCAAAACAAACTTTAATTTTGAGCCATACTTATTGAAATTACCATATCTTGAAAGATGTGTTTTAACAAGATTTAGAATTGGAGCTCACAAACTTGAAATGGGAAAAGGTCGTTACTTTAATATATATAAAACTAGAAAATAGAATATGCAAACTCTGTAATGAGGAAATAGAAGATGAGATGCATTTCCTTTCAACATGTAAAGCTTTGGTTAATGTTAGAAATCCCTTTCTTAGCAAAATATTTAGAAAAATAAAAATATTTCAAAATCTTGATAACAAATCTCTTTTTATTTGGTTAATGGGAAATGAAGATAAAAAAATTTTGATAATAATTTGTCAATTATTAGAGGTTTTAAATAAAAATGAGAATACAATATTAAATTAGATTATTTTATATAGATGTATAGATATATATGATCATATATGCATTAACGATAGTTATTTATTAAATTTAATTAACAATTAGTATGTTACATGTATGAGGTGTGCTGTCCAATAAA